AGTTGCTTTCCCAATACAAAATATTTTTAAATTAAGACTGTGATACTTAAGATATCTACTTCTTTTTTTAACGCAATTAGGTTCGGTTTTGCCTCTTTAAGATTTTAGATGTTTAGATAGCAGGAAGAGAAATATAAATATATTTATTCGACAGTGTACTATTCATAAAAGCTTTAAATCATAAAATAATAGCTAAACCTACCCATAGTTTATAGCTAATACGGTACATCGCATTTGCCATCGAATTTCAAACCTCATACTAACTAGCATAGGTAACCTGAGAACACAACAACCGGTTACTCCATGCAACCGCAGCGGTATATACTTTGATTATATACCTGTCTATATAATCAAAGGGTATATAACAAGCGTTACATAAATCGGTATTGGTGGTCAAGCGTAAAAGTAAGCATTAGAATTAAGCATTGCTATTCCAAGATATTATAGTCTTATTGTCAAATAGTTTTTCAACGCTAGCAGCGTTAATAGCATATTTTTAACATAAACACAGTTTTTAGTTTAGAGTTTTTAATCAAATCTACTTTATGCCTTTTTTATATAATAAATAAATGTTCGCGGCTCTCCAGACGCAACCCAACTTTCTATCGCTGATATTACTAGATAGCATAGTTTTGGCTTTCATTATTTTATCTAATGATAGTGACATCTAATTTCTGCTAAATAAAGTGATGATAAGTCACTGATATAATTGAATAATAGAGGCTACTGAATACTTACTCGTTTAGAATTAAAACTTCTGACACCCAGTCCTAGGATGATTTACTGCAATTACCTCGTTTGGCGAAATCATTAACGATACTGTTAAATTTAGTACTGCGTACAGCAAACTGTGATTGCGAGAATAGCTCTTTAGTTAAATATATTAAAAGTTTTAATTTAATCAACTTCATTTGTTGTCAAATTATCTGACGTAACCAACTAAAAATTAAGTGCAATGTGAAATTTTTAACTCCATTTACTATAAAATGCTACTAACAAGTTACACGTGTAATAACTATAGGGATCGATTCACACAAGTACACGTAAAAAATATACTAATCAAATATGATAAATACATTTTCGCGTTGATTAATATGAATTTACAAATTTTTGTTTCATATTTAGATATATTAATTCCTATTTACAATAACTCTACTTAAATTTTTAGTCACATGTTTTTTTATGTAAAATTTGTACATTTTGAATTATATTTGGTTTACATTTTGCTTAAAAAATAAATTCGAAAGTGTATCGATATGTAATAGTATTCTTTTTTTTTCTTTATAACGACATAACGATTTCAACGAAACGTAAAATTATGTTATCTGATTGAAATATAATATTGTCTTTTCAAATGTTATAAATATTTTGTTAAACAAACTTTAGCTGTGTACCTAATAGTGTATTTTTTTTATATATAAATTTCTGTCTCAATTAAGACAAACATATACCTTAGAAGTCATGAAATAATGAGTTTTCGAAATTATAATTAACTTAAATAATAAATATTCGTTAATGTACATATGTAAAAGTATTATAAAAATTTAATGTAACAATCTATATTTAGAGGTATAGACTATAAGGCAAGATAAATTAACTTTATTTACGATATCATTTTAATGCATTGATAAAATTAGATACATACGATGTAATCAAAAAAACGTTCCCATGAACGTACTTAGAAATTAAAACAAAGGTGTCACAAACTGCTTACGCGGCTGACATTGTAAGTTGTATTTTGATCCCTGTAGTTCTTTATTATGATTATGTTGCACTAGGACCGCCGTGAGATAAAACGTGTAATATTAAACGACTATCATTTTTTGCCAACTAACGGCCACGCCGGTATAAGCAAATGATAAACAATACAACGAAAAGATTCTTTTGACAGGAGTTAGCAACTACATACATAATTAGTAACATTCCAAATCAATAATAAATAATCGTAAATTGATGTGACAAGTATTTGCGATATAAAAACTAAAATAAGTACCAATGGTTATAACTGCCCCCACAATACAAGAGAAAATCTTAGTGTAGGGATAACGTTTTTTAAAAACGAGAAACTGATACGGGATATTCCACTTTTGATATAGTTTATTTAGATTTTGTAGGGCCCTTACGTAAGGAAAGTGTTAGTAATGTTTATATACTCACACTAAAATGTGATTTAAATGCATATCTACTTAAAAATAAGGATAAAATTTTAATGGTATTGGATTTTTACCTTTGTTACGGTTTGTGGTTTTATTAAGGTTTTTTTATTAAGGTTTAAATCGAAAAATATTATGATATCATTGCACTATATCTTAGCATCGAATACTGAAAATAATACGTGTAAATTATTTTATTATTTTGAAGTTGGCTTGTCATTCTTATTAAAAACTTAATATTATTCCTTGGATATTTCAAGGTATTGTTTGTTTGAAATCGGTTGCATTACGAGTACTTCATTGACTACCATCACCGACCACCGTTAGGTTTAGGTGGACTGTTAGCTCTTTTTTCACTTTGAAGTTATGAAAAATATTTGTGACTACTATACATATGAGAATACCCAATTGGAGGTTATTTTAAAAAGCAATGCATAAGTGTATCCCAGTGTTCATATAAAGTCCAAAAAAATAGTTAAATAGGCGAATAAGGTTAAGGTATTTTTCACATGTGTCGATTATGGGGTATCTATATAGTTTTCTCATCTGGTTGGGTTCTATAAATATATAATTATAAATGAAAATGAAAAGATAAATATACATAAATATCAATAACATAAAATAAATATAAAAGTACATAAATAAGTAAAAGCCCAACCTGATGGAGGCCCTCGGCAGGGGAGACCAAACGGCCGAGGGTTATCGGGAAAGGGAAAGAAACCGGCGGACGATGCGGGCGGTATCGAGGAGCACCGCCTTCTGCATTTGAACCTGGAGCGGTCCGCCACGTAGTCCCAGCCGCCTCAGATGACCCGAGAGGCTGACTGGGATTAGCCCGTTTGCAGAGACGACTACAGGAATAATTTCGGTCGGCAGACCACCCCACATGTCGGTCACCTCGTGAGCCAGGTCCAGATATTTTGTTTGCTTGTCTGTTTCGGCTTTCACGAGGTTCTCGTCGGATACGGAATGGTAATGTCGACCAAAAATATCCTTGACTGTGCCCGGTCCATCAGCACAATATCAGGCTTATTCGCAAGAATAGTCCTGTCTGTGATGATGGCCCGGTCCCAATATAGCCTGGCGCGATCATTTTAGAGCACGGCTTCCGGCAAGTACTTGTAATACGGCAATTTCCGATCCACGAGACCGTATTTCAGAGCGAGCTCCTGGTGTAGAATTCTGGCTACTAGGTTGTGCCTGTGCAAGTACTCAGAGTTAGAAAGCGCCGAACAACCGGAGATAACATGCCTAAGTGACTCACCGGGATGGCGACAAGCTCGACAGATGTCGACGGTGCCATCCTTTAGGATGTATCTCCGATAGTTGTTGGTCTTAATAACCTGATCCTGTATTGCACAGACAAAACCCTCGGTTTCCCCCGAAGAGATCACCAAAGCGTAGCCAGTGGAGGGAGGCTACTGTGTCTACGAAAGGCTCATGTAGAGCCTTGTAGAACCTCCCGTGGAGCTCCTTCTCCTTCCATACGGTCTCCCAGTCGGAAATGCTCTGCACTGCCGGGTCTTGCCATTGCTCGTTGGCTAAGGATAGAGGGGTAAGTCCTTTATCACAAGAAATGACGTCCTTATAGAATAGATCATCCGATCTCGCAAGGAAGTAATCACGGAGGCTGCACACTTCGCGATTATGGATGGTGAGCGCGCTCAAGAGGCCACGACCACCATGCTTCCGCGGCAAGTACAGCCTCATTACCGACGATCTCGGATGATGCATCCTATGGGACGTCATGGTAGTGCGGACTTTTCTCTCCAGGGCGTTAAGTTCAGTCTGAGTCCACCTGAGTATGCTAAAGGTATACATGAGGACAGGCATGACCCAACCGTTATATGCGTGTGCCTTATTCACACCGGACAAAAGGCTGTTAAGCAATTTGGTCAAGCGTGCATAAAACACGTCGCAAACTGACTGTTTCATACCAGCCTCATCGATACCGATGTTCTGTGACATACCCAGGTATCGGTATGTTTCAGCCTCGGAAAGGGTTCTTAAGTTGACGGGCATAGATAAGTCTATGCCCTCAGAGTTAGCAACCCTTCCTCTTTCAACATGGAGGACCGCACACTTATCCGTCCCCAGCTCCATTCTAATAGAATTGCTAAATTCACACGTGATGTTTAGCAATTCCATAAGATGGGAGCGACTGGAGGCGAATAATTTGAGGGCATCCATATAGAAAAGGTGGGTCACTTTTGTACCTCCTTTCCGAAGCTGAAATCCCCTCCCGGAGCCCTCCAGTAAAGTACTGAGAGGGTTCAAAGAGAGGCAGAACCAGATTGGACTCAGACAGTCGCCCTGGAATATACCCCTTCTTATCCTTATGCGGCTTTCCGCAGCCGTCATCCGCTCGCCTAGATGAGAGAGGATCGTACTCCACTGCCCCATACACTGCTCGAGGAAGTCTCGAACTGTACAGTCAATCTTGTACAGCTCGAGGACCCTCTTTAGCCATGTATGGGGCACCGAGTCAAATGCCTTTCTGTAATCTATCCAGGCGGCGGAGAAGTTCCGACGGTTGCGTTTCACCACTTTGCCAATGACCGCGTCAATGAGGAGTGGTTCCTTGGTTCCACGACCGCCGCCCCGACATCCATTTTGAGCGCGCGACATCACCTGATTTAAGTCCAGGTGACGAGAGATTCTTGCGCTCAAAATGGATGTTAGTGTCTTGTATATGGTCAGTAGACACGTGATGGGGCGGTATTTGCTCGGGTCTGTGGCACCCTGATCTTTAGGAACCAAATGAGTGATCCCAGTAGTGAAGAGGCTTGGGAGCGACTTCTGGTTGAGAGCCTCTTGAAACTGTCGGGCGAGCACAGAGTGACACACCATGAACCCCTTCAGCCAGTAGTGATGCAGCCCGTCAAGCCCCGGACTTTTCCAGTTCGGGGCCCTACGGACCGCCTCAGCTACGTCATCCGGCGTTATGATGACGGGGTCCATGGGCGTAATACTCGCACACTGACTCGCCACAACTTCCGTCCAAGGGCCCTCGTTGTGGTTTACGGGCTCTGACCACAGGCTGCGCCAGAATGCGACCATGTCGGCCTGATTTGGTGCAGGGCCCGTTCCACTTACTATTGGTCGCTCCAATGATTTATAGAGCCTCTTCTGATCACTCTGGAAGAGACGATTCTGGTTGAACCGTGTCGACCTCTCGGTATATCGCCGAATCCGCTTTCCCCAAGCAGCTATTCTTTGCTTCAGGTCGTCTATGCGCTCCGTCAGTTTTTGCATTATATCCGGCTGGGACAAACTAACATTTGTCCCAGCAAACGCCATCCTGACGGTGCGCACAATCCTTGGCCTGGTATTGCCTGACCTGAAGCATATCAGTCTGCCGATGAGGGCCCTAGCCTTTGCGATAAGTTCTTCAATTCTTATTCTCCAGGCTGGGATGACTACTTTGTCCAATACGCGTCCATTGGCACCAAAGGACTTTTTCTTATTTTTCACAATCCCTCTTCCAATGACTCTCATTGATTCAGTTCTGCCTCTAAAAGGTCTGCCAGGTTTTGCTCGGTGACGGTTACAGATGGCTCCAGCTCAGCAAAAAGTCGATGCATCCTTGCCCGATACGCAAAACCTCCAGTTTCTCCCCCTTTCGCCCTAAAATACGCCCGCAATGCGTTGCTGTTCATCTGGGTTGTCCAACGCATGCGGCGTACTCCACCAGTGGCGGGTGCCGATTGCTGAGCCCGCGAAGACCCTGCCGACACCAAGCCAGCTGGTGGGGATGATGGATGCGAGGAGCTGCTGGGTGGTCGTGCAGCACCTCGCGCTCGGCTGGCGGTTCGCATGCTGTCGCGTCCAGCACCAGCTCCAGACGCGCCCTGGCGACCTCCAGGCAGCGGCCCTTTGCGCGTTCCATTTGATTCCATCATCCATTTTAGGGCGTCATTTAGCGGGAGACGCCCAGACCCGGCGCCGTTTCATGGTTAGGCCATGTGCACAAGCGGGCCTTGGCACCTTCAATTTTTGCCGAGGCACGGCACTAACACCTCTTGGCAAGGTGCTGACTGACTGCGCCGACGTAGCGGTTTTGTCACATAACCGTTATATCAGCGGGCGATGGGGTCGTCACTTCCCTACGCCTTTTTTATAATTATTATTATTAAGGTTTAAATCGAAAAATATTATTTAAGTTTAAGAAAATAATAAAATTGTAAACACCTTATAATATTTTTACTAATTATATTTTTTTTAAACTGTATTTTCATGTCTAGTGAATTAATAGTTATATATCTACAAAATTTTTAAAAGTTATGCAGTTATGATAGGCGAACTAAAATTATTTTACAACAAAAACTTAAAGAATAAATACAATTACGTAAGGAATTTGATGATTATTTAATAAATTTAAGTACAGACATAGAAAGTTATTTTTTACATAACAGTGTTCACGGTATTTTATTTTATTATGTTATAAGTATGATAAAGTAGGTATAAGAATTTTAATATTTCAAAACAATGTACAATTTTTTTTTGATTTTTTACACCAAGTTTTGATTCATCGCAAAAAATATTTTTGTAATCCTATTTTTTTTCTTTTTACCGATGGGCGTGTAGTGTATATATGCCCATGTAGGTATATACACGATAGCCTAAGAGAGATTCTACAGTAATAAATCTACAGTCAAGATCACTAGACGTATTATCACTTATTCCCCGAACCTTCCAACCTTTTAATGGGTTATTATATAACCCGCAATTATATAAACAAATTATATAAAGAGCTGACTCCGGACCAAAGTCTATAATTATAACCGCAAACTAGCAAAATAGCATTGAATCGATTTCTATAAAAAAAATCAACGATAGCGCTAAGGGCCGCTGGTTCGAATCTCACACGGAACAAGTATTTGTATGGCCTACTTAAAATTGTACTGGGTCTGGATATTTGTTCTTCCAAAAATTATGTATTTTAACTGTTTCCACGATACATGAGAAATTTCTAGTGTGTTTCGTTTTTATTTTTTACATAATCAATATATGAATCCTACAATTGTTTATATCAGAAGTTATAATTGATACTTGAAATATATAATTAATGACTTCCTCGATATTTGATAACTTGAATGAAAACCGTATTGTACAATCCTAAGATTAGATATGTAGGTTTTTTGCAAACATACATATTGTTCTCGAAATGGCAAAAATACTCTCAATTTCTGATTGAGAAATGAAAACTATAGTCAATTTCATTAAATGAAGGTGTAATGAAATGGACTCGACGCCAATGTTATACCTACGTTGGCAGTTGCTGGGAGCAATACGTTGTTGACGAATATCAAAGACTATATAACCACGGTTGTTATATTCTCTATGCTCCGGACCTACTTAGTAAAGTTATTTCGAAAAATCATTTTAAAATATTCTAAGAAAACATTACTTATCATTGTATGCATATAGTCATGCCAGAGGCCACTTGTAAGTTACTGTTAAAATTATCAATCCATATGCGATATGTGCTGTTTGAGTGTGTGTTGAATTAGTGTATATGTAAGTGTATAAAAAAAAACTAATATACCAATTTGAATATTTAGCTGATATAGACCTCATAACAAACATTACTAAATATCCATAAATAAAATAATAAAATAGATTTCACTAAATGTTAGTATATGTATAAGAAAAATTATACTTAAGATTACATAAACATAAGCATGTAAGACGAGAACTGCCAACAAACCGTAATGCAGTATTGTGGAAGAAAATGTTAAAACGTTTATTGTATAAATCATCATCATCATCATCAGCCTGCGGCAGTCCACTTCTGGACATAGGCCTCTGCCAAGGCGCGCCACTTAGCCCGATCTTCGGCTTCACGCATCCAGTTGCTGCCAGCCGCCTTGCGCAGATCGTCGCTCCATCTAGTCAGGGAGCGTCCCACACTACGTTTACGCAACACGGTCTCCACTCTATAACACGCCAGCTCCAATGGTTATCGCTTCTGCGACAAATGTGACCGGCCCATTACCACTTCAGCCTACAAATACGGAAGGCTACGTCGGTAACGTTGGTTCTTCGTTAAGAATCTTATCTACCCGAGAAACTCCGAGCATAGCTCTTTCCATCGCCCGCTGGGTGACTTTGAGTTTGTGGAATAGTCGTACAGTTAGTGTCTACGTTTCGGCACCATATGTGAGTACTGGCAGGACGCACTGGTCGAAGACTTTCGTCTTCAAGCTTTGCGGTATGGGTAACGAGATGACCTGAGGAGGCTTCCCGAACGCTGCCCAGCCTAACTGAATCTGCCTATAAGCTTCTTTCTAGAAGTTTTTTTATCTATAAGCATTATCTTGCCGAGGTAGATATACTCTTGAACAACTTCAAGAATTTCACCACCAACGATAATCGGAACTGGTATTACAAGACATGACTTTCGTCTTATTTAAATTCATACTCAGACCGACACGTTGGGAGGATGCATTTAGGCTGCTCAGCATGTCTTGTAGTTCCTGCAGCGATTCTGCTATAATGGCGATATCATCAGCAAAACGTAAGTGTGAGATGTGAGATGTGTTCGCCGTTTATATTGATGCCGCTCCATTACAGATCAGCGTCTTAAAAACATCTTCCAGTGTATTTATGAACGGTTTTGGAATATTGTGTCCCTCTGTCTCACACCACGATGCAACTGGATAGGTTTTGTAAGACCACCCTGTACTTGGACAGACATCGAGCTTGTAGTGCTTAAATGTCTCATGACATCTATATACTGCCAGTCAATCCTGCAACGCTGCAAGAAATTTATAACAGCCCAAGTTTCGATGGAGTCTAAGCACAAAGGTCAGAAACAGAGATTGATTATATTCATTCGTCTTCTGCATAATTTGCCTTACTATGTGAATGTGGTCTATTGTGCTATAGCCTCCTCGGAACCCAGCCTGCTCGGGTGGTTGAAATTCGTCAAGTCTCCGCGTGAGTCGATTCATGATGACCCTCGCAAACAACTTATAGATGTGGCTCAGAAGCGAGATGGGCTGATAATTCTTCAACTTTGTCTTGTCACCTTTCTTGTAAAACAAGTTTGTGATGCTTCTGCTCCATGCCATTGGAGTTCTCCCATCTCGTAAAACGCAGTTAAAAATTCAACGGTTGTCTCCCCGCTTTCAAGAGCTCCGTTGTAAATCCGTCCTCTCCATTTTTAAGTTACCCGAGGCCCAACTCGATCTCCTGTAGACAGATATCTGACAGCTCGTGGGTAAAATGGTGAGGCCTCTAGGATCTTCGTATTTGGGGTCAGGTTGCTGTATAAATAGGAGAAAATAAATTAAAAAAACAGGTCATACCGTATTGGGGTTAGTGCAGTGAAAACTTTTTAGACTAAAAAACTGTCTGCGGCCTATGCCCAGTAATGACGATGACGACATGTATGCTGCTACTTTTTTACTTTTAATGGGGAAATTGTGCGTGCGCGAAGAACTCAACATTGTCATCGTTATTGCCTGTCAAAAGTCCACATAGGCGTCCCCCATAAATTGTCAAATGGGCTGGATATTTGCTATGACGATATGAGTTGGTGGATTCTCTTTCTTCGCCACAAGACGAACATTTTTCTACTCTCGTTCATGAGTGTGATTCTTCCCACTCGTTACTGTGAATAGATCTTCATTTGGATTAAAACTAATTTTAATAATTTTATCACGTCTAATTTTAATTTTTTTTAAAACTTTACAGCACCCATGGTCACGGGGGGGGGGACTAAGGTGTTTGACGTCTGAATTTCATAGTTAACGAAGGCTTTTTTAGTTTCAATAGCCTAGAAAATCATCCGTGGTAGAAATTTGTTGGTAGGATTTATGATCTATCAGATCTGATATGTATATAATGGTTGGGACGATACTAAACATGTCGACAGACTTCAAACTTCCTGGAGCGTCGGTGCTTTTAATCTACGATATGTTCTTGTACGGGGGTTTTTATAGATATTTCATCCAAAGATGCGTAAAATACCCACGTGAAAATGTAAAATTGTAGTATTCACGTATGTATAAGAAATCATTTACGCACTTTCGCAGTCTACTTAAAGGTAAAAATAATATTAGCATTCATTTTACGATGCCATTAATATTAAAGGCGACAAATGCTAAGAATCAAATATCGCAAATAAACATCACACGGTAAATTAACGGACGACAATGAAATCAGTGAAAGAATGTAAAGAGTAAAATTTAAATAACGCAATTTTCATTCCAAGAGCTTTCTTATGGATACTTTGTGTGACGGCCCATTATTTTTATTAATAATTTATTTCTATATAAAGCCATCGAATTTTATATTAGAAGTGATATTTTAAACAATTGAAATATAAAAACAAAGTTAAAATAAATTTAAAGCCTTTCAAAATAAATAAATTTATTAAAAAACTTTGTTAAAATATTCAAAAAGTGTTAAATAATAGAAATACAAGTCGAAAATATTATAATATTAAAGATAAATAACATTTATAAAATAATTGGAATATTGCTCAAAAA